ACAGTTACAACGCCCCACCCCCATGGACCCCTCTGTAAAAAATATTGTCATAATAACACTGCTATTTATTTAAATATATTTCTGTAATATATATTTGTGTAATATATATTTGTGTAATATTTGTGTATGTTTAGAACAGTCATCTAAAAACTGACGCTATGTTCACTCTGAGTTGGTTATCTTCCCCCCCCCCCCCCCCACACCTCACCACCACAATTGTGTAGAGCGACATTAATGTCACACCTAGGTATACACTGGGTTGGATAATTGACCTAAAGTGACCGGACAGTGGTGAAGAAGATGAACCCACCCCACCCCCCAACCCACCCCGAACTGATCTGTTAAGTACATGTAGAAAAACGCGAAATGATTGTACTAAAGTACCGTGCGGCCAGAAAATTAGCTTTTTAAACGTAAAAGTCTGTGAATATTGTTTTTGCAATTACCAGTAAAAAGGTGTGTGATCAATACAGTGATCTAATCCACACCTATCACTATGTTAAAAAATGATCTTTAAAGAACACAAAGAAGCAGTAGTTAATTAAAAATATGATCTGAACTAAAAGACCGATATTTAGTTAAATGTAGACTGTTATTCCGAATGTTGTTATTTGTTATCGAAATGCGTGGTTTTATACCAACTCTGCTTTTAAAACTTTCATTATGCTGTAATACTTCAGCATTTATGATGACGATATATTAAATTCTGATTATAGACAAAAACATTTTGTAAACACGAATAGTGTTAAACAATTTCATTATATTCTAAAGTAATTATTTATTTGTTTTGACATTTATAATTACATGTGTAGATATATACATATTTATATTAAGAGAGTGGTTATTTACCCTATTTCACTTGTCTTAAATAATTTCCCAGGAATTATTATGTAAGAAATTTTTTTTACAAGAATTACAAAACAGATTGTGTTACGTTCATTGTTTTTGGTTGTAGTGTATATATATATATATATATATATATATATATATATATATATATATATATATATTTATATTTATATATATATATTGTTTAGATTGATAGAATTTTTGTTTTGTCGGCCTACGTTATGTGTTTTTTTAATCTTTCAGTGTGCTACTTTCAATTTATTTTACATCATAGCGAAGTAATATATATAGGCCTATATATATATATATATATATATATATATATATATATATATATATATATATATATATATATATATATATATATATATATATATATATATATATATACACGTTAAAAATTCGGCGCCTTTTTTGCTCTTTTCGCTCCCCCTACAACGAAAACCTGGATACGCCTCTGATATATATATATATATATATATATATATATATATATATATATATATATATATATATATATATATATATATATAATACACTTCAATTTATACTTTACTATAAAGAAATGCGTGGGTCAATCTATTATCTATTGGATACCTTTACTAATATTAGGAAGCGACCCACGTTTTTCTTTACAGTAATTTAAATAGTAGTGTAGTATTATATATTTAAAGAAAAATCCTTTATTTTCTCCTTTTAATGCATATGACATAAAAGCTTGTTATCAAAACGTTTTTTGTGCCATTTTTTCAGAACTTTAAATTTAAAAAAAAAATTACAGTAGAGTTGCATGACTAAAAACTATTAGGCACCAAAAGACATGACAACACGCGTATAATAGTGCCGAATAGTTGAATAAGACTACCTACTAATTTCAGAAAATTTTAATTCATTCATAAAAAATTAAATAGTCATAAGTCAAATTTAATGTCGTATTGCATTTTCATCGGGTCTTGTCTTGACCCACGTGCCGAGTTTCGTAGAAGTGCCCGAAATTTCGCTCTCACGTTTTGATCTAGACAGGATTAACACAGAGGAAGCTAGTTAAATAAAAAGCGTGTAAAAACTCGGCTATTCTGTATTTTTTTTTCCAAATAGTTTATTATTTTTGGCCGAGAAAATTGCATACATTTCATAGCGAACGTCTTGAAAAGTAGATCTTAGAGCTAAATCAAATTTGAATGAAATAGTTCATTTCTTCATCTTCTAACGCTGGAAGATGTGGTAAGCGAATCTTATTGAAGATAACATCATTAGTATTGTGTATCGTTTTCGACATTCTATTTTTAATTGTATTTTTATTCTAAAGTCAATGACGCCATTTGTTTCCGTAGTTTAAACATATGACATGTGACATCATTGTGTTTTTGTGTTACTTGTATCTTCTTTAGGCGTATGCAGGTTTTTGGGTCAGGGGGATTGGCGAGTCGACAAAAAAGGCGCCATATATATATATATATATATATATATATATATATATATATATATATATATATATATATATATATATATATATATATATATATATATATAAACTAGCTGTAAGTCATTGCTTTGCTACGGTGTAAAATATATTTAAAAAGTACTGTTTGGGGGAAACAAAGGAACAAAACACAATGTAGGCCTAAAACACAAAACAATTTATTACAGACAACAAAATACAACACAAAATATACACACAACACAACCAAAACAAGAAACGCAACAATTCTTGTTTTGTAATCCTAAAAATAAAAAACAAATTTGACACAATGGTACATAGAATATTAAGACAAGCGAGCAACATTATCACTCTGTTAAGATAGATGTGTAATAGGCATACACATTTAGTTGTAATTTTTAAAAATTCAACAACATTAATCATTTCATTTTTGTTTAAACAAATAAATTAGTACAATTCTTTTTCTACGATCATAATTTAATATTTTATTTTTATAAATCAATGCTAAAATATCACAGCATGAAGAAAGATTTTTTTTTAAGCGGAGACCGTATAAAAAACGCGATTTAAAAACAGTCAAACTAAATTTAATAGTAACAGATTTATTATTTTGAATAATTGCTAACAGCATAGTTATTTTTTAGCGCAATTTCCATACTGGGATTGCGATTATTAACTCGTCATTTCTGGATGGATGGATGTGTGTCCGCAGCTTTAAGTCGTATCTCCTCCTCAACGAAGCAATATCGAGGACTAGTTCCAAAAGCAAATATGTTAAGCAAGTTCCGAGGATGATTGTGGGCCTAATAAATTCCCGGAATTCCTTCCTGGATTTCCCGGAAAAGCCAAAAAAACCTCGAAAAAATGCAGTTTTTTGCCCATATCTCGGCAACCAGACCACTTAGCGACTTGAAACATTTACCAATCGATTCCTGCTATAATTTAGAACAATATTGCCGAAGAAAGTTTTCAAAAATATCCTTTCGTTCGGTCACAAATTTTAAAATTACATAAACACCTACAAACCGATCGTTCTCCTAGCTTGAACGCACCCCAGCATTATACGTCTTCTGTTTTGTCCCCGTGTGTGCTTTACGCTACGACAGAGCTATTTTTAGATAACATAAGGAAATTGCGCTTAAATTGTCACTAGACTTTTTATTAACTTGTTTAACTAAATTAGTTGTTTCAACTAAATTACTTTTCTTTACATTTTTACCTTCTGGTACACGAAGTAGGCTTTTTGGACGATTTTTACCTCCCCCCCTCCCCTCCGTCATATATCCTCACAAAAAGCCAGACCCCTCCTCCTAAAATGACGTCACACCTCAGCCTACAACCCCCCCCCCCCCCCCCCCCTCAAAATCGCAGTTGATTTTTTTTTTTAAACATCGATATTTTTCCAAAATCTTGTCTGGACTCTCTCAAAATAGAGTATTTTAATCAATTCCTATTGCAATTTATTAAAACAGTTTTCTTAAACACGAAATAACGTGTAAAATTCATTTTCTAAAGTGAAAATAGTAATTCATAAAAAAAAAGAAAAAACAGTATCCGCTTCCTCACCCCTCCCCCCTCCCCCCTCCACACACACAAACACGCACCCACACACCCTCCCCGGACAGTTTAAAATGCCGCTACCCGGAGATAATTATCTAATAGAAAAACCGGGTAGCCTTTTGTAAAGAGAAGAGAGCTAAAAGTCACCAGAATAGCCTGTGTAACGGGTACCGATGGCTAGTATGTGTATAATAGTGCGTAATATTATTAGTACTTTATAAATTCATATGCGTTTTTTTTTTGAGAAATCGGAAATAGCGTAAATTACTACTTCCGGAAATGACTCAAAATTTCATAAAAGGCAGAAAATTAGATCTTTTACTACATTAGTTGTTTCAACTAAATTACTTTTCTTTACATTTTTACTTTCTGGTACACGAAGTAGGCTATAGAAAACGTATTGTAATCGTGCAGAAAAAATAAATCAAGATTTTTGCAAATCTCGACATTTTACACCTCCCTGAGTCGGAAAAACATAGTTTTGCAATCTTGTCCGTATGTGTGTGTGTGTGTGTGTGTGTGTATTTGTGTATGTAAGTCTGTGAACACGATAACTTGAGTACCGTTACAGCTAGATTGATGAAATTTTAAGTATTACATCAAATGTGTAGTTCTGTATCAACTTTTCAGCTATTTCCGATAATCAGAAGTGGAACTTTTTCTACTTTGAATTTTTCAAAAGCCTATAGCTTGAGTACTGTTTCAGCTAGGTAAATGAAATACACGTGTAAGTAAAAGATCTAATTCTCTGCCTTCTGTTAAATTTTGAGTTATTTCCGTTGACCCCAAGTAGTAATTTACGCTATTTCCGTTTTCTCAACAAAAAAAAAAACGCATGTAAATTTATAAAGTACCAATAATATTCCACACTATTATACACATTTGGATTGGCATTCACTTGGTGCGCAATTCTTATTTCAACGAGATTCTATTCTATTTTAAAAAGTTTAAGTAATTAAAATTGGATTAACAACAGTGTCTATATCCCGAGTTACCATCCACCGTAGTGTTATATAAGAATATTTGAGAAAGTTTAGGGGAGATCACTCACGGTTTATTTGTGTGTATTTAAAGCATTTTGTTCAAGTGCAAATAAAAACGGAAAATACCCATCTAGCACTAAGTACAACTGCTGTTATACAAAAGATACGTTGTTTTCAAAATCATCAGCAAGATGGAAGGCAGTTTATAACAAAAGACGTAAACATAAATCAACGTTAAAATTTAAAAGTAAATGGCATGTGCATATTTTAAGTTACCATTGACTTCAAATAATCGAATTCACATTGACATTAAGTTACGTTAAACGCATTTTTGTTTCTATTAGTTAGTGTTAGGCACTTTTAGATGTTTATTTTATGTAGGATAGATCTATAAGAAAATTTAAACCAAAGCCACCTTAATGGACATACAGAGTAGTCTCGAAATTATTCGAAAAGCCCATTAAATATTTTGTACGATGTTATAAAAATAACTCTGATTGTAAAATAGGACTGTTTGATTTTTTAATTGGAAAGAAATTGAATATAATAAAGCGGGAGTGTTCTCCCATACACTTTCTCGAATATTCTTACATAACACTACGGGGAATGGCAACACGGACAGATATGATTTTTTTTATCAATTTTTAATTACTTAAACTTTTAAAAATATAACAGAATCTCGTAGAAAAAAAGTGAACGACAAACTATCCTAATATATAAAAACCCATGTGCGCACATTTCTCTCTCTGTCCGCAAAAAAAATTCACTGGCTATCAAATCAGTATCTTCAGCGATATATACATATGGAGAACTTGATACGGATTTTTATCTATTAGGATTCTAATTCTAGATCTAGATATTCTAGATCTAGATATTCTAGATCTAGAGATTCTAGATCTAGATCTACGAAAAACTAGACAGATCTAGAATCTACATCCAGACCCTACCTAGATCTAAAATCTATTCCAATAATAAATTTCTATACCAAACTATTTCAGGCCTTAATTATTTTAATGAAATCTTTGTTTGTTTAGCTATGCGATTGGCTAATTTGTGATAGAATTTAATCTGAAAAGAATAGGGCTTATTCGCGTAAGTTAATTTTCTTAAGTACCTGTTTTATTGTCATTAATTAATATAGTGTCTAAATACCCGCATGATAGTGTAATTGTTACCACGTGAGAGGTCCGGGTTCGAGACACACAACGACAATCTTAAAATATATTTTTTTCAAATTTTTTTATATGTGAATGATAAATTTACCTATCGGGACTTGGTGGGACAAGGGGCAGGTGGTCATCCATAAATGACGTCACGCTTTTTTTGACGATTTTTACCTCCCCGCCCCCCACCCCTCCGTCATATATCCTCACAAAAAGCCAGACCCCTCCCCCTAAAATGACGTCACACCTCAGCCTGGACTCTCTCAAAATAGAGTATTTTAATCAAATCCTATTGCAATTTATTAAAACAGTTTTCTAAAACACGAAATAACGTCTAAAATTCATTTTCTATCATTTCTTTTTTATAATGCAAAAGTGTGACGTCGCACCATCTGAACCCCCCCCCCCCCCCCACACACACACACACCGTCGCAAAATTACGGACCCCCCCCCCCTCCCCGTGTGAGTGTGACGTCATTTATGGACGACCCCCAAGTAAAGTAGAGTTCACCTGTTTCAATAGGGATAGTGTGGTAAGACAAAAACAACATAACTACCATTGAACAGCCGGGTTTTTAACTAAATCTTTTAAGTTTCTTAATTTTAAGACTCTTAATCAGCGAGTGCATTTAATATGGTATTGTGTTGACTAATACTGTATTTAATTTGGTTTTAATTTTTCTAATAGGTATTGGTAGTCTATGTTATTTTAAACAAGTATAAACATAGACGATACATAAAACAAAACCCTTTTGATCCAATGCTTTTGATCAATAAAATGTTTCTTTTCCTGAGTTTCCGATTATGAATTTTTTTTAAAGCTGAATTACAATTCATTTCATTACTCCCTTTACGTAGGTATACACATTTTCTTCCGAACGAAATTGAAAAAAGTAATTCATAAAAAAATAAAGAAAAAACAGTATCAGCTTCCTCACCCCACCCCCCCCCCCACACACACACACGCACACACACAACCCACACACCCTCCCCGGATAGTTTAAAATGCCGCTACCCGGAGATAAATATCTAATAGAAAAACCGGGTAGCCTTTTGTAAAGAGGAGAGAGCTAAAAGTCACCAGAATAGCCTGTGCAACGGGTACCGATGGCTAGTATGTGTATAATAGTGCGGAATATTATTAGTATTTTATAAATTCATATGCGTTTTTTTTTTTTGAGAAATCGGAAATAGTGTAAATTACTACTTCCGGAAATGACTCAAAATTTCATAAAAGGCAGAAAATTAGATCTTTTACTTATATGTGAAATTTCGTTTAAATAAATCTATTTTTTTTCCGACTCTCTTACGCATAAAACGCCGACATTTTGATTAATCTGGATTTATAGTTTTTGCCCGATTAAAATAAATCCACTATAGTCCGTATATGATGAAGCACTGAGGTGCAGAGGGTGGATGCCAAATGCTTCCTCTATACTGTGTATACGAGAAAGTAAAAATGGCAAAAAATGGTATCGGAAAAGTTTATATATATATATATATATATATATATATATATATATATATATATATATATATATATATATATATATATTATAATATATATAAATATAAATAACGTGTTACTACATTTTTCATTTGTACTATTGGTTACTTTTCTAAGTGCTAAAAGATATACCTACATTATCCAGTGTAGATCCCCTCATATTTCGGTCACAGGAAATTTAATTGTGTTTATTATGCTTTTACACATTCAATCTAGAACACTCTTTTATTTACAAGTAAAGAATTTTAGCAGTGTATTATTCAATCTTTAAAAGCAGCAAGAGATAAGTTTTTATTATCTATATTCTTAAACATTTTGCGCCTGTTTCCCCCAGTGCCCCCCCCTCTCAAACCCTATAATCCATTTTATAATGGATTATAATCCTTATAATCCATTTTATTAATCATCTGTGGTTAACATTATAGTTAAATGGTGCTTTTTAGATTAACTTTCAAAATGATAGAAGAATTGAATTAATTAAATGATGCAATACTTGTACTGTAATAATTTCTATCACGTATTTTATGTTTTCAGGTTCGGCTCCAACACGAAGAAAATGGACCTTGCTAGTTCTGTTTTAGTGCTCCTGTTCATTGTCAGCCTCTCGGGTTTGTGCCATATATACATACAAACATATATAAATATATGCATATATATATATATATATATATATATATATATATATATATATATATATATATATATATATATATATATATATATATATATATATATATATATATATATATAATATTATTTATATGTATATTTTACAGGAAAATAATAAATCTGTATGTACAACGGTTTAAAATAAATATAAATTAAACTGGTTTTCTTTTAAAAAAATAATGAACATATATTTTCAAAATTAAATAAAAACCATTATAGACTTCTATGATACAGTGTAATATACACTAATATTGCTGAATGCCGATAGTTTTAATATATTTTGGAAATAGATTACTCTTAGATAGTATGTATAATCTATGCTTTTAGTTGTAGTGGTATAAGAATGGTGCGATATTATATTTTGAGATAGACGTAGATCTAGATGTAAATATTGTAAGTATATCGATTGCTTGAGAAACCCTACCACCCCCTCCAGTTTTTATTTTGGTATCACACAACTCATGTAGAAAACAGTAAAATAACTATTTTAAGCTAAGTAGCAGTATATTTTCTTAACTTAAACTATCTACCATTCAACAAAGCAGCTCAGAACGTGTTTTTTGTTGTTTTCTACCACGTCTGGGTGTTACCTAGGGTCGCACTCGGGGCCCTTGACCCACCCTCTCTTTCCTTGCTACGCCTCTGCACGGATATAACAATTAACCAAATGTAACACTAATACGAGATTTCTTGAGCGACAAACGATTTTTATTGTGAGTCTTTTACCTAAAAGTAAAATATAGTAATGATTTGTGTTTGAAAATTTATTAGCGATCTGCGCTTTTACTGTTATATCTAAAATCTAAAGCATTGTTTTAAGTTTTTAAAATGTTGTGCATTTAAATGAAAGCTTTTTTTTAAATTTGAATAAATAGTTTTTCTTCTACATTTTAGTACTTAGAAATATCAAAAGCATAAATAGTAATTCTTTAAAATTATCAATATCAATCAGCTCCATACCCTTTCTTTATATTCCGATTATTCAAAAATTGCACGACTAAATACTCTTGGTTTGAAAATATCAGTGAACACGACGCACCTCAGTTACTTGACTGGTCAAGTGATCGCTTTTACTGAATACTGTTTTAGCCAATCTGTTATTTCCTATAGTTTTCTTTTAATTATTAACCTAATTTTTATTTCCGATTTAATATTTTATTAGGTTAAGAAATAAATATCCTTGCGAGAAAATTCACTGCATTAAAGAGATAAATTTAGTTCACAGATAAAAATACAAATAGACAGAAAGACAGACATTGTGAGTTTAGCAAAAACTTTAAACAATGACACACAGCATTAATAACAATAATTTGAAAGTCATCTACGACTAAAAGCTTCATAATATAAACTTTATGTGTTTTGCAACCTATGTTTGTAGTAGAACAGTGGAAAATATTTTAAAGTATATTCGAATTTAAATTCACAGTGACTCTTGATTTCGATGCACAGTGATGCATATTTCAGAACTAGTGTACTAGTATCGAGCACACAGTTTGGACTAATAAAATATCATTTATTGATACAACCCTTTCCAGTGACACGTTTTATATATACAATCTCAACGCTGTAATAATTAAAGAAATCTACAATCAAAACAAACTTAGATAGTAGGATCAAATCAACTAAACCCGCCTTATAAACTTTGATCAACCTTGTCTTACAAAATGTACCTTGTATCTACACAGAAGGTGCCGTAACCCACAATGTAACATTTGAGAACAGGATTGAGGGCTTTGAAAGAGAATGTGACGCTCCAGGTTGCCGGTACACTGGAAAGATTGTTGGAAGTATCACGATCCATGGATTGAATTATCCAATACCACAGCTT